GGTCGAACCAAAGTCCTATACAACTGTAACGTGACCTGCCAACTCTTATACTCAATACCCCGTCCGATGAATGAAAGCATGCCATATGCCTTCTTGACCACTCTATCGACCTGCGTTGCCACCTTCAGGGTACAATGGACCTGAACACCCAGATCTCTCTGTGCATCAATTTTCCCCAGGGCTTTTCCATTTACCACATAGTTCGGTCTTGAATTGGATCTTCCAAAATGCATCACCTCGCATTTGCCTGGATTGAACTCCATCTGCCATTTCTCCTCCCAACTCTCCAATCTATCTATATTCTGCTGCATTCTCCGACAGTCCCCTTCACTATCCGCTACTCCACCAATCTTAGTGTCATCTGCAAACTTGCTAATCAGACCATCTATACCTTCCTCCAGATCATTTATGTATATCACAAACAACAGTGGTCCCAACACAGATCCCTGTGGAACACCACTGGTCACAGTTCTCCATTTTGAGAAACTCCTTTCCACTACAGCTCTCTGTCTCCTGTTGCCCAGCCAGTTCTCTATCCATCTAGCTAGTACACCCTGGACCCCATGCAACTTCACTTTCTCCATCAGCCTACCATGGGGAACCTTATCAAATGCCTTACTGAAGTCCATGTATATGACATCTACAGTCCTTCCCTTATCAATCAGCTTTGTCACTTCCTCAAATAATTCTATCAAGTTGGTAAGACATGACCTTCCCTGCACAAAACCATGCTACCTGTCACTAATAAGCCCATTTTCTTCCAAATGTAAATTGATCCTATCCCTCAGTATCTTCTCCAGCAGCTTCCCCATCACTGACGTCAGGCTCACCGGTCTATAATTACTGGGATTATCCTTGCTACCCTTCTTAAACAAGGAGACAACATTAGCAATTCTCCAGTCCTCCGGGACCTCACCCGTGCTCAAGGATGCTGCAAAGATATCTGTTAAGGCCCCAGCTACTTCCTCTCTCGCTTCCCTCCGTAACCTGGGATAGATCCCATCCGGACTTGGGGACTTGTCCACCCTAATGCCTTTTAGAATACCCAACACTTCCCCCCCCCTCATGCTGACTTGACCTAGAGTAATCAAACATCCATCCCTAACCTCAACATCCGTCATGTCCCTCTCCTCAGTGAATACCAACACAAAGTACTCATTAAGAATCTCACTCATTTTCTTTGACTCCTTGCATAACTTCCCTCCTTTGTCCTTGAGTGGGCCAACCCTTTCTCTAGTTACCCTCTTGCTCCTTATGTATGAATAAAAGACTTTGGGATTTTCCTTAACCCTGTTTGCTAAAGATATTTCATGACCCCTTTTAGCCCTCTTAATTCCTCATTTCAGATTGGTCCTACTTTCCCGATATTCTTCCAAAGCTTCGTCTGTTTTCAGTCGCCTAGACTTATGTATGCTTCCTTTTTCCTCTTTGCTAGTCTCACAATTTCACCTGTCATCCATGGTTCCCTAATCTTGCCCTTTCTATCCCTCATTTTCACAGGGACATGTCTGTCCTGCACTCTAACCAATCTCTCTTTAAAAGCCTTCCACATATCAAATATGGATTTACCTTCATACAGCTGCTCCCAATCCACATTCCTCAGCTCCTGTCGAATTTTGCTATAGTTGGCCTTCCCCCTATTCAGCACTCTTCCTTTAGGACCACTCTCGTCTTTGTCCATCAGTATTCTAAAACTTACGGAATTGTGATCACTATTCCCAAAGTAATCCCCTACTGAAACTTCAACCACCTGGCCGGGCTCATTCCCCAACACCAGGTCCAGTATGACCCCTTCCCGAGTTGGACTATTTACATACTGCTCTAGAAAACCCTCCTGGATGCTCCTTACAAATTCTGCTCCATCTAAACCCCTAACACTAAATGAATCCCAGTCAATGTTGGGAAAATTAAAATCTCCCATCACCACCACCCTGTTGCTCCTACATCTTTCCATAATCTGTCTACATATTTGTGCCTCTATCTCACACTCGCTGTTGGGAGGCCTGTAGTATAGCCCCGACATTGCTACCAGACCCTTCCTATTTCTGAGCTCTGCCCATATTGCCTCACTGCTCGGGTCCTCCATAGTGCCCTCCTTCAGCACAGCTGTGATATCCTCTTTGAACCTTTCCTATCCATGGACCTGTCCAGATGCCTTTTAAATATTGTAATTGTACCAGCCTCCAGCACTTCCTCCGGCAGCTTATTCCACACATGCACCACCCCCTGCATGAAAAAGTTGCCCCTCAGGTCCCTTTTAAATCTTTCCCCTTTCACTTTAAACCTATGCCCTATAGTTTTGGACTCCCCCTACCCTGGGGAAAAGACCTTGGCTATTCACCCTATCCATGCCCCTCATGATTTTATAAACCTCTATAAGGTCACCCCTCAGCTTCCTATGCTCCAGGGGAAAAAAAACACCCCAGCCTATTCAGCCTCTCCTTATACCCCCAACATTTCAGTCTCGGTAACATCCTTGTAAATCTTCTTTTGCACCCTTCCCAGTTTAATAACATTCTTCCAATAGCGACCAGAATTGTACACAGTTCTCCAAATGTGGCCTCACAAACTTCTTGTACAGCCATAACAAGGCATCCCAACTCCTGTACACAACGTTGGCAAGTGTGCTTTCATCTGCCATACAAACAGAAATCTCAGTAGACCACAAATAAAGGAGGGCTGAAACCTTTAAGGCATCAACCCATAAATGTAACCTCTTGAAGTTTCATATCGATTTAAATCGCAGGGTGGTATTGACAGCTCCCCTTGTCCCACCTCCCCGGTCTCCAGGCTCCTTACTTTAGTTTCCACGTCCCTGAAGAGCTGGGGCACAGGGGTGTCTCGGTTGGGTTCAGCCATGCCCAGTGCCTGGCACAGAGCCTGCAGTTCTTTGAAGGTCTCATCGCCATCACCGTCGCCAGTGTCCCTAGGTACCTGGCACAGCACCAAGGGCTTCCTGGCATTTAGGATCCTGGCTGCCTGCAGCTCAGAGCCCAGGAACACTGAAAACAAAGTCAAAGTGAGACACATCAACTGGCGTCCAGGGGCGCACGAACACAGAAAATAGGAGCAAGAGTAGGCCATTCAGCCCTTCGAACCTGCACCACCACTCGATACAGTCAAGGCTGACCATCCAAACTCAGGCCCCATTCCCATTTTCTCCCCACATCCTTTGGTCCTTTTATCCCTCAATCTAACTCCTTGAAAACATTCAATGTCTTGGCCTCAACCGCTTTCTGTGGCAGAGAATTCCACAGGCTCCCCACTCTCTCTGGGTGAAGACCTTAATAGAGTCACAGAGCACAGAAACAGGCCCTTCTGTCCAACTCGCCCATGCCGACCAGAAATCTTAAATTAATCTGGTTCCATTTTCCAGCATTTGGCCCATATCCCTCTAAATCCTTCCTATTCATGTATCCATCCAGATGCCTTTTAAATGTTGTAATTGTACCAGCCTCCACTATTTCCTCTGGCAGCTCATTCCATACACGCACCACCCTGTGTGTAAACGTTGCCCCTCAGGTCCTTTTTAAATCTTTTTCCTCTCACCTTAAACCTATGCCCCTCTAGTTTTGGTCTCCCCTATCCCTGGGGAAAAAGAGCTTGGCTACTCACCCTATCTATGCCCCTCATGATTTTATAAACCTCCATAAGGTCACCTCTCAGCCTCCGATGCTCCAGGGAAAATAGCCCCAGCCTATTCAGCCTCTCCCTATAGCTCAAACCCTCCAACCCTGGCAACATCCTTCTAAATCTTTTCTGAACCCTTTCAAATTTCACAACTTCTTTCCTATAGCAGGGAGACCAGAATTGACTGCAGTATTTCAAAAGTGACCTAACCAATGTCCTATACAGCTGCAACATGACCTCCCAACTCCTGTACTTAATGCACTAACCAATAAAGGCAAGCGTACCAAACACCTTCTTCACCACGCACCGATCCTTGTGGCACACAGCTGGTCACAGGCCTCCAGTCTGAAAAACAACCCTCCACCACCACCCTCTGTCTCCTAACTTTCAGCCAATTTTGTATCCAAATAGCCACCTCCCCCTGGATTTCATGTGATCTAACCTTACTAACTAGTCTACCATGTGGAACCTTGTAGAAAGTCTTGCTGAAGTCCATACAGACAAATCCACTGCTCTGCCTTCATCAACCCTCTTTGTCACTTCTTCAAAAACTCAATCGAGTTAGTCAGGCACAATTTCCCACACACCAAGCCATGCTGACTATCCCTAATCAGTTCTTGACTTTCCAAATGCAAGTAAATCCTGTTCCTTAGAATCTCCTCCAAAAACGTTTTTGTAAATGATTTGGATGTAGGAGTGGAAGGGTGGATTAGTAAGTTCGCGGACGATATGAAGGTGGGTTGAGTTGTGGATAGTGCGGAGGGCTGTTCTAGGTTACAAAGGGACATTGATAGGATGCAGAGCTGGGCTGAGAAGTGGCAGATGGAGTTTAACCCTGAAAAGTGAGGTGATTCATTTTGGAAGGACAAAGTTGAAAGCAGAATACAGGGTTAACGGAAAGATTCTTGGCATTGTGGAGGAGCAGAGGGATCTCGGGGTTCATGTCCACAGTTCCCTGAAAGCTGCCACCCAGGTGGATAGAGTTGTTAAGAAGGCGTATGGTGCGTTAGCTTTCATTAATAGAGGGATTGAGATCAAGAGCCGTGAAGTTATGCTCCAGCTATACAAAACCCTGGTTTGGCCACATCTGGAGTATTGTGTCGCCTCATTTCAGGAAAGATGTGGAAGCGTTGGAAGAGGTGCAGAGGAGATTTACCAGGATGTTTCCTGGAATGGAAGGAAGGTCTTACAAGGAAAGGTTGAGAGAGCTAGGGCTTTTCTCTTTAGAACGACAAAGGATGAGAGGTGACTTGATAGAGATGTACAAAATGATCAGAGGTATAGATAGAGTGGACAGCCAGAGACTTTTTCCTAGGGTGGAGGTAGCTATTACGAGGGGACATAGTTTTAAAGTGAGTGGAGGTAGATATAGGGGAGACGTCAGAGGTAGGTTCTTTACTCAGAGAGTGGTAGGGGCGTGGAATGCATTGCTGGAGAGGATAGTGGAGTCTGCCTCATTAGGGGCATTTAAGCGGCTATTAGATAGGCATATGGATGATAGTATAAGGTAGGGGTGGAGGTTAGATAGAACTTAGGTTTAGGGTAAAAGTTTGGTACAACATTGTGGGCCAAAGAGCCTGTACTGTGTTGTACTGCCCTACGTTCTATGTTCTAACGTAACCACCACCAACATAAGGCTCACACATCTGTACTTCCCTGGCTTTTTCTTACCACCTTTCTTAAATATTGGCACAATACTAGCCACCCTTCAGTCTTCTGGCACCTTACCCATGGCTGTCGACAAAACAAATATCTCAGCAAGGGGCCCAGCAATCTCTTCCCTAGCTTCCCACAATGTTCTGGGAAATACCTGATCAGGTCCCAGGGATTTATCCATCTTTATGTGTTTTAAGACCTCCAAGCACCACCTCCTCTGTAATATGGGCACTTTCAAGACATCACTATTTATGGAGGTTGTTGACTTGCTCACAGAGCTGGCTTGTTCTCCTTCAGACATTTCGTCCCCATGCTGGGTAACATCATCAGTTGGGCCTCCGATGAAGTGATGTTGTTCTACTCTGCTTGGAATTTATACTGTCCGGTCCGTTATGGTGAGTAGTGTCGTTTCTGGTTTTGATCTGTACGGGTTTATATATGGGGTCCGATTCTATATGTTTGTTGATTGCATTATGGGTTGAGAGCCATGCCTCTGGGAATTCTCATGCGTCTCCATGTTTGGCTTGGGCTGCTATGGTTACCTTGTCCCAGTTAAACTGATAGCCTTCATTGTCTGAATGTACCGATATTAAGGAGAGTTCATTATGTAGTTTTGTTGCTAGCTGATGTTCGTGTATTCTGATGGCTAGTTACCTTCCTGTCTGTCCGATGTAATGTTTGTGGCAGTCGCTGTATGGTATTTTGTAAACCATGTTGGTTCTGCATGTTGTGGGAATGGGGTCTTTAATCCTTGTCAGTGTTTGTTGTAGAGTGGCTGTGGGCTTGTTGGCCACCATGATTCCTGGTGGTCTTAGGAGTGGTGGTCCACAAGCCCACAGCCATGCTACGACAAACACTCACAAGGATTAAAGACCCCATTCCCACAACATGCAGAACCAACATGGTTTACAAAATACCACACAACGACTGCCACAAACATTACATTGGACAGACAGGAAAGTAACTAGCCATCAGGATACACGAACATCAGCTAGCAGCAAAATGGTACGATGAACTCTCCTTAATATCGATACACTCGGACAATGAAGGCCATCAGTTTAACTGAGACAAGATAACTATAGTAGCCCAAGCCAAACATAGACACGCACAGGAATTCCTAGAGGCATGGTTCTCAACCCATAATGCATTCAACAAACATAGAATTGGACACCATATACGGACCCATACAGAAAACCGGAAATGCTCACCATAACGGACCAGAAGGCACAAATTTGAAGCGGAGCAGAACAATATCGCTTCATCACAGGCCTCAGTGACCATGTTACCGAGCAGGGTGACGAAACGTCTGCAATCAAACACACCGGCTCGGCAAGCAAGACTCGAAACACACCCACAACCCGAGCTACAAATCTTTGCTAAAACCTTAAACATTGCTATTTATTTCCCCAAGCTTCCTAGCTTCCATGTCCTTCTCCACAGTAAATACTGGCACAAAATATTCATTTAGTATCTCACCCATTTCCTGTGGTTTCACACACAGACCAACTCATTGATCTTTAAGGGGCTCTATTTTCTCCCTTGTTACTCTTTTATCCTTAATGTATTTGTAGAATCCCTTTGGATTCTTCTTAACCCTATTTGCCAAAGCTATCTCATGTCCCCATTTTGCCCGCCTGATTTTCCTTTACTCCTACCGCTCTTATACTCGAGAGATTCGCTCGATCCCAGCTGTCTATAGCTGACATATGCCTCCTCCTTTTTCTTGACCAGAGCCTCAATTTCTCTAATCATCCAGCATTGCCTACACCTACCAGCCTCACCCTCCACACTAACAGGAACATACTGTCTCCGGACTCTTATTATCACTTCCCTTCATCTCAGTCCTAAGTACACTACCCTGTACCCTTAGACTGCGACCCCATTGGGAATATCCTTCCTGCGTCTAACCTGTTAGAATTTTACAGGTTTCTCGGAGAACCGTGCTCCCCCCACCCCAACAATATTTTTCTCAACTCCAGTGAATACAATCCTAACCGACTCAATCTCCTCACACACGTCAGTGCTGCCATCCCAGGAATCAGTCTGCTGACTTGCCTTTGCACTCCCACCTTCGCCAGAACATCATTCCTCAGATACGGAGACCAAAACTGCACACAACACACCAGCCGTGATCTCACCCAGGCCCTGTCCCATTGCAGCAAGACTTCCTTGCTCCTGTACGCAAACCCTCTCACTATGAAGGCCCAACGTTCCGTTTTTGCCTTCCTCACCACCTGCTGCACCTGCAATGCTTACTTCCAGCGACTGGGGTACAAGGACACCCAGGTCTTATTGCACACCACCCTCCCCTCCTTTTCCAATCTATCACCATTCAGGAGATAATCTGCATTCCCGTTTCTAAACCCTGCATTTATCCACATAATAACTCCATTTACCATGCGTTTGCCCAAATCACGCTGAAGCGTCTCTGCATCCTCTTCACAGTCCACCCCCCCCACCCAGCTTTGTGTCATTTGCAACCTTGGAGACATTATAGTTAGCTCCCTCAATTAAATTATGAATGTATATTGTGCAAGCACTGAGCCCTCAAATGCCCTATAGGCTGGGACTATTTTCCCTGGAGCATAGGAGGCTGAGGGGTGACCTTATAGAGGTTTATAAAACCATGAGGGGCATGGATAGGGTGAATGGCAGGTGTCTTTTCCCTAGGGTGGGGGATTTCAAGACTAGAGGATATATTCTTAAAGTGAGAGGAGAGAGATTTAAAAAAGACATGAGGGGCAACTTTTTTTTACACAGAGAGTGGTTTGTGTGTGGAATGAACTTCCAGAGGAAGTGGTGGATGCTGGGACAGTTACAATGTTTGAAAGACATTTGGGTAAGTATATGAATAGGAAAGGTTTGGAGGGATATGGGCCAGGGGCAGGCAGGTGGGACTAGTTTAGTTTGGGATTATAGTCAGCATTGTTGGAGTGAAGGGTCTGTTTCCGTGCTGTGAGACTCTATGATAATCATATTCGAGCACACAAGTGCAAGGCAAATGGTCATTTCTGACAGGACAGAATCAAGCCACTTCCCCTTTGACATTCAAAAAGGTATAATCCCTTACTGTCTGCAGTGTAGATGGTACACGCTGCTGCTACTGAGCGTCGGTGGTGGAGGGAGTGGGATGCTTGTGGCCTCACAGCTGGAGTATCGGATCCAGTTCTGAATGCCATACTTTAGGAAGGGCGTGAACTCATTGGGGAGTATTGAGTGCTAACTTTCAAGAGGAAATTGGATAAATACCCAAAAAGGAAACACATGCAGGGCACAGGAGAGGGGTTTGGTTGGAGCATGGGGGAGGGGGGTGGAGAATGTGGGATTCATGACCCAGCGCAGGCACGACAGGCTGAATGGTGGTGTATGATGCCATGGTTCACCATCTCAATCTCTTTATCCAAGGGACACTTTGTCATTGTAGTTGAATCTAAACTATGCAGGGAGTCAAGTACATTAATACTGAATTGACATGACCCCTGACCAACTGTTCTGGATATAAATAAAGGGAAAGATTTTAGAAGAGATTTACCAGGATGTTGCTGGGTCTATAAGGTTTGAGTTATAAAGAAAGGTTGGATACTCTGGGACTTTTTCACCGGAACACAGGGGTTTGAGAGGTGACCTGATAGAAATTTCTAAAATAATGAGAGGTATAGATAAAATTAATGGTAGTTGTCTTTTCCCTAGGATGGGGGATTTCAAGACTAGGGGTCACATTTTTAAGGTGAGAGGAGAGGGATTTTAAAAAGACACGACAGGCAATTTTTTTTTTTTTACACAGAGGGTGGTTTGCATGTGGAATGAATGGTGGATGTGAGCACAGTTACATTTAAAAGACATTTGGATAAGTACATGAATAGGAAAGGTTTGGAGGGATATGGGCCAGGAGCAGGCAGGTGTGGGACTAGTTTGGTTTGGGAACACGTTCGGCATGGACTGGATGGACCGAAGGGTCTGTTTCTGTGCGATATGACTCTATTTGTGCTGGGTCATCACCTCCTGACATCCCAAACATTTTACAGCAAAATGAAGTGCTTTACGAGAGTGATGCATAGGAAATCTGGCCACATTGCACACAGCAAGATCCCACAAGCTGCAACTGGATATTGACTTGGCTGTTAGTTTTGTTTGTGACGGTGCCTGGGATTTGAGGTGCTCCCTTGCTTCTTCCAAATAGCCTTGAGATTTTTTTCTTAAATCTCACGATGCACCAGAAGGGGACCTTGTCTCGTTCAACAAAAAAAAATTTAAGCATTAAGACAAAGAAATGAAAAAGATGAAAGCTGTTGTGTTCATGCATCGCTCCCTCGGGGCTGCCCCTGGGTAATGTCAGTCTAGTTTCTGATCAATCCAAGTATCTGGAATGGGATTTGAACCGATTTCTGCCTCTGGAGCTTGTCCGACAGAGGCTTTACATTTGTAAAAGGAACAACGAATGAGGAGAGAATGGGGAGGGAACAGTTCAGTTTAGGAGCTAGCTCTGGAATGGATGGCTAATCTCCTATGTTTTTCCTGTTTTTAGCTTCTAGGCCCAGGCTTAGCAGATTAGGTCTCTCAGTCATTGTGTTCGTCCTGCACAAACTCCAGTGTGGTACTGTGCTACAACTACAGTCAACGAGGACACAATCCCCACCAGCACACACCGCCGTTAGTCAGTGGGGTCTAGTTTCACCCCACCATGTACTTACACAGCAGCTGCAAGCAGCTCTCTCTGTTGTTCAGCCTGGAGGTCACATCACCTGTGGTGAGGGAAGGATAGGGGCAGTGCAGCTCATTCACCAGGCCACTGGCTTCCAATTGGAAAGTTTCTGAATCTTCAGGGCCTACAGAGTGGAAACAGAACCTGTGAGAGAGTCGGATTGGATCAACCAAAGGCCACTCGGCCCACACAGCTGGTGCTACATGTCACGTAGCAACCGGGCCCATCTGTCTAACCCCCAACGTGAACGTCGGATAGGAATACGCCCAGTTCCCAAAGTGATGGTCATCGAGGCCACAGATCATTCACGTCTGTCAGCTGGGGGTGGGGGTGGGCAAGGGGAATGGGGGAGGGGAAAGTGGGGGTGAGGAGAAAGGGATAGGTGAGGGAAAAGGTGGAATATGAGAATTAGGAGAGGCAAGAAGTAAGTTAGTCCTTCGAACAGGCTCTGCCATCTGATCTGATTATGGCCTCAACAGCATTTTCCAGTCTACACCCCTCCTCCCCAACTCCGCCCCCAATAACTAGCATTTCTTGTCGATCAATTCGACTGTTCTTTGAATAACCAGCCTCTTGTTATCTGGGGAAGAGAGTTTCACAGGTGAGTGACCCTCCGCTGCTGTTGTTACTGCCTTGCGAGCACTGACACTCCTTTCGCTGAATCTCACCAAGTTACTCCGCAGCTCCAGTTGTTGAGTGGTTCCCCAAACGAGGTGTCATTAACTGCCCTGGGTTACAATGAAGGGTCTTGCGAAGGCACTCCAGAGGGCACTGGAGAGCCAGGCCTATGGGTGCAGCGCTGGCCTTTGGTAATGGGCAGACAGGATGGTAATACCTCCCCACTGCCATCGTCATGTGACCCACACGGCACGGTCAGCTGACACGGTGTATGTCCCTTCGCCTTCCCTCACCGACCAGCTGATAGCATCATTCAGAGACAAGGGGGCACAGATGTCTCCTTCTGCACCAATCCACTGGGTCAGCCATTTCCTCATACATCCGAGGGGCACCAAGCCCTGTATGATAGGTGTGAGACTGTCATAGAATGGAACGCCACTGCTGGGCACCATCAGGCAATCTGGCTGCATGAAGTAGCGAGCGTACCCAGCCAGCACCTCCCCACCCCCCCAACTCTCTCCCACACCACCCCCCTTACCCCAAACTGCCCCTTGTAATCTGCAGCAAATGCAGCCCACAGGGACGGTGGGGAGAACAGACAAAGGCAGCAGTCTCTCCGAGGAGGGGGAAGAGGGGATGCGGGTTTAAATCCTGAGTCCCCACATCTCCCGACAGCACCACACCCCCACAACAGGGCTGACTGACTAAGGCCTGTATCAACAGTGAGAGGCCACCATCACAACGACAGGTTCTGTTCACATAGCTGTTCCCAGTCCCGAAAGGTTAACTGTTTTTTTCCTTCACAGATGCTGCCAGACCTGCTGAGCTTTTCCAGCAACTTCTGTTTTGTCCCTATACTTCGGTGGGACAGGGACACCCACTGATACAACTGTCCTAATTGCCCCTTAAAGCAGAGTGTTTCGCTCTGGTAATGTCAGAGAGCAGTTAAGGGTCAGCCACACCGCTGTGGATCTGCAGTCACATCACAGAAAGAGAGCAGAGTTACGGTGCAGAAAGAGGCCATTCAGCCCATCGGCTGGTTAAATGAGCATAGTGACTAAGTGCTATTCCCCGGATTTCTCCTCATAACCTCGAGCACTGTTTACATTTGATTGATCATCCAATGCTGTCCTGAGACTCAACGTAGGCCAGACCAGGTAAGGATGGCAGATTTCCTCCCTGAAAGGACCAAGTTGCGGTTTTAACAACTATCGATACTGGTTGTTCTGATCACCATCACTGCGGTTAGCTTTCAATGTCAGATTTGTTTCTTGAATTTAAATTCCACTAGATACCTGGTGGGATTTGAACCTGTGTCCCCGGAATATTAGCCTGGAGCCTCTGTACAATGATTCCACTGTCAACATCCCCTCCCTAAGATGCAGTGAAATATCCTGAGGCACAGCTTCACAGGCTGTTTAGAATCAGAGAGCACAGACAAAGACCAACTGCCCACCATGTCTGCACCAGGAAGGGGAGTGGATGTTTGTGGATGTGGTGCCAACCAAGCGGGGGCTGCTTTGTCCTGGATGGTGTTGAGCTTCTTGAGTGTTGTTGGACCTGCCCCCATCCAGCACAAGTGGGGAGTATTCCATCACCCTCCTGCCTTGTGCCTTGTAGATGGTGGGACAGGCTTTGGGGAGTCAGGAGGTGAGTTACTTTTCACAGGATTCCCAGCTTCTGGCCTGCTCTTGTAGCCGCTGTGTTTATGTGGTGAGTCCAGTTGAGTTTCTGGTCAATGGTAACCCCCAGGATGTTGATAGTGGGGGATTCAGTGATGGTAACACCATTGAATGTCAAGGGGTGGTGGTTAGATTGTCTCTTATTGGTGATGGTCATAGCCTGGCGTTTGTGTGGCGTGAATGTCACTTGCCACTTGTCAGCCCAAGCCTGGATATTGTCCAGATATTGTTGCATGTGAACATGGACTGCTTCAGTATCACCACAAATGGTGCTGAACATTGTGCAATCATCGGCGAACATCCCCACTTCTGACCTTATGATGGAGGGAAGATCATTGATGAAGCAGCTGAAGATGGTTGGGCCGAGGACACTACCCTGAGGAACTCCTGCAGAGATGTCCTGGAGCTGAGATGGCTGACGTCCAACAACCACAACCATCGTCCTATGTGTCAGGTATTACTCCAACCACTGGAGCGTTTGCCCCCTGATACCCATTGATTCCAGTTTTAATACGGTCCTGTTTGTGGCCATCCCTAGTATCTAGAGTTTGTGAACTTCAGCCCAGGGCAAGGATTGGGAGGGTTCAAGAGGGCAACGGATGAATATTTGGATAAGGGGAAAGGGCAGGACATTGGCTCTAGGTTACAGAACTGGTACAGGCACGATGGGCTGAATGGCTGTCTCTGTTCTGTAACAATTCTGAGATTCTGTGGTGGAGGGAGGGGGATAATTAGGAGTCCGCCCGAAGGAACTCTGATGTTTAACGACAATCCAACAGTCGCTTTTGTGGGCACTGCCTTTTCTGTTCCTCCTGTTTCTAAGCGTAAAAAGAATCTTGCACTCACCCGACGTCGGGGTGATGCACTCCTCCAGGGGGCTGACAGCCTTCAGCTCCGAGGCCAGCCAGGAACACAAGGCGGTGAAGTGGAGGGAACACGGACCCTCACTCACTGCCTGTGAGAGCACGCCCACTTCCAGAAGTGACCCGGGCGACCTGAAACACAGGGGAGGGGAACAAATGCTTGAGAATGTAATAATCTCCTCACCACGTCAGTACACGGACCATAGAATCCCTACAGTACGGAACGAGGCCATTCAGCCCACTGAGTCTGCACTGACCCTCCGAAGAGTATCCCACCCAAACCCAGCCCCCTACACTATTCCTGCATTTACATCCCTGAACACTATAGGCAATTTCCCCATGGCCAAGCCACCCTAATCTGCACATCTTTGGACTGTGGGAGGAAACCGGAGCACCCGGAGGAAACCCACACAGACACGGGGAGAATGTGCAAACTCCACACCGACAGTCACCCGAGGGTGGAATTGAACCTTGGTCCCTAGCTGTGAGGCAACAGCGTTAACCACTGAGCCACTGTTGTTGCTTCTCTTTTCAAACAAAATTACGCACAGCAGGGGCCCATTCAAGACATAATCAAAGTCAAAAAAGATTCTCTAAAAGGGATGAAGATAAAATAGCATAATCCCAAATGTCTACTTATAACACAAATTGCAAGATTGTTAAACACTGGGTAAAGTATAATCCCACTAATCCCAAAACATTCCTTCATAAATTGAAAAGGAAAACAATAGTTTTTTTAATGCAGTATACCACATTTGTACTGTACTTTCCAGTTTCTGGGCAGGACTGTATTTTGCTTTTCCTGGTTAAGGAACAGGGTTTCCTAAGAGTGTAGGTGCAAAGGATAGTGGGGTTTTGGGAGGCAGGAAATCAGTGATGGACACTGTAGGGTTGCAGGGGTTAATTAATGAGGTAGGTTTGCTAAGAGAGTGCTAACTAGTTCTCCCAGCTACACAAACCCTCCAGAAAATAAAACTCAACGCCACTCAGAGTTAGCTGAAAATAATCCTGTCAGATTGAATCCTCTGCCAGAACATCTTCGACAAACCAAAACAGACAATTGCTGGAGAAACTCAGCTGGTCTGGCAGCACCTGTGGACAGAGAGAGAAAACGGAGTCAAGGTATTGGGTTCTGCTTTTCTCTCTGCACAGCTGCTGGGGAGATGATAGAAGCAGACATAACAGCAATGTTGAAGACTAATTTGGACAGACACATAAACAGGCAAAAAATGAAAAAAAACTGTGGATGCTGGAAATCAGAAACCAAAACTGAAATTGATTGGAAAACTCAGCAGATCTGGCAGCATCTGTGGAGAGAAAGCAGAGTATTAACTTAAGTTAATTAAGTTTCAGGTCCAGTGACCCTTCTTCAGAACGGAAGAGGGATCCGGATCACGTGCAAGAAAATGGGATTACTTTGGAATGACATTGCAGTCAGCACAGACATGGTGGGATGAAGGGCCTGTACTGTTCTAAGTTTAGATGCTGCCAGATCTGTTGAGCTTTCCCAGCAATTTCTGTACTCAGATTTCCAGCATCTGTGGTACTTTTTAAATTTTTGGTCCAGTGCTTTCTATTTCAGATCAAAATCTCTTTTCAACTGTGCTTTTGTGGAGGGTTTGAGCTATACGGGGCATGGATAAGGTGAATAGACAAGGTCATTTCCCCCAGGGTAGGGGAGTCCAAAACTAGAGGGGATAGCTTTAAGGTGAGAGGAGGATTATTTAAAAGGGACTTAAGGGGCAACTTTTTCACACAGAGAGAGCGAGCTGCCAGAGGAAGTAGTGGAGGTTGGTACAACATTTAAAAGGCATCTGGATGGGTACTTGAATAGGAAGGGTTTGGAGGGAAATGGTCCAAATGCTGGCAAATGGGACTAGATTAATTTAGGTTATCTGGTCGGCATGGATGTATTGGACCGAAGAGTGTGTTTCCGTGCTGTACAGATCTATGACTTACCCCAGGGCTCTGAGAGTCTGCACCACATCCCCTTCCATGGACACTCTCTGTGTGCCTCTCGCTGTCTCCATTCCTGTCCCCCTCTCTGTGTCTCTCTCTGTCTCCATCCCTGTCCCCCTCTCTGTGTCTCTCTCCGTCTCCATCCCTGTCCCCCTCTCCGTCTCCATCCCTGTCCC